GGCCCCAAGTCTGCCCAGAAATGCCCCCGAAACGGCTTCCGACGGCGTCAGACGGGCCAGGAGCCCACCAAGATAGCCGAAGGTGGCTCGCAGCTGGCCCAAGATGGCCCACGAGGCCTCCAAGAGGGCCCCCAGGAAGGCCAGAAAAAGCCAAAAATAGTGATTTGCCGTAGGTTTCTGAAGGATTTTGACATTTGCTTCGTTTCGGCCTTCCGACGGCCCGATACGGCCCAAGAACTCCCGAAGATCGCCCAAGGATCGCCCAAGAGGCCTCCAAGATGGCCCCAGAACGGCCCAAGAGGCGCCCAAGACGGCCCCAAGAGGCCCCCAAAACTGCCCAAGAGGCCTCCAAGACGCTCAAGATGGCCTCCAAGACGGCCCACGGGCCCTCCAAGACGTTCTCTAAGAAGGCCCGAAAGGGTCAAAATGGCCTCCAGGCGGCCAAGATGACCTTCAAGATGCCCACGTGTGCCCCGAAGGCTTTCCAAACCGATTCGGAGAACACGTGGTCCGATAGCTTGACAGGTCTGGCCTCAACGTTCGGCCACATAGGCGCTTTCACAAAGGCAGGGGGCGGCGGTGATTCGCCGTAAGCGTCTTCGATCTGCAATTCAATTATGCAGGAACTGCTTCATGGTTTCGGCCAAGAGGGCGCCACTTGTGACAATACTGGAGCCTGTGGAGAGCTCTTAACCAAGGCGTCGCTGTTGGGACCCGTCCCTCGGTTCTACGCCTTGCATGTCCTTTTGTAACGTCTGTCTTGGAGGCGTCTAAAGGTGTCTTTACGGCGTACTGGGCTGTCGTAGGGCCGTCTTGAATGTTACGTATTCCCCAGAAGAGCTGTTCCTAAAGGGTCGGTGCTGCCTGCGTGCAAAAAACTACTAATGCCCGCACGTTGCTCGAGGCCCGATGCCTGTATTGCGTGCGCATTGCAACTGGACGCGACGAAGTACACTACCATGAATTGCCGTACCCTGGGTTGAATTGTATTGTAGCGCGTTGCAATGCATTGCATTGGTTTGTGCCGCTTTGCTCTGCAGTGAATTAACTTGCGATCTCTGCAGTGCAACGCAATGGTTTGCATTGCGTTGGTTCGATGTGCCTTGCATTGCCCTGCGCTACACATTGTGCAGTGTGTTCGGATGAACGGGATGGCAAAATACTTGCATCCGTGGCGGTTGTACTGTTCAGTCATGGACTTACTTGGCCCTGCCTTGACTGGCGCTGCCTCGATGTGCATTGCATCGCGTTGCGATGCATTGCTTCGCAGCCTTGTGCATGGAGTTGCGGTACTCATTGCTTCCATTCACGGCACAATCGTATCCACTGCACTGCAATTGCCATCCACTACAGTGTGGCAACGAGGGACAAGCTTGAAATACAATGCATCTATCAACTTTAGCTCCAATCGAACGTAATGTAACACGATATTTGCTGAACTCGCATTGCCACAGCTGCCGTTGCTATTGCCGCTGGCCAAGAATCCTACAACTGGCGCTGATACTTCTACGGGTACTCTTAATCTAATTTATCATTACACCACTCGCGCTGGGAACAGTACACTGGTGGTCTACGACTGTACTACCTTGAGGATCTACTACTGCGATGCTCCTCTACGATACGGCTCTCTTACTGCACAGTTGCGCACTCAGACTGCCCACCTTCCTGCTAAATTGCGGCTGTACGAGTCGATGATTCGTTGGATAATCGACTGTTCCACGAATGGGTTGTTATACTGCCCCTCTACTGTGCTACCCTACTACGCCTAATTACGCTTTACTTCTCGACTACTGTACGCACGCAATCTGTCTGCGCGATCCCCGTGCGGCAATACTCTTGTAGTCTGGCACAGGACGGCCCCACTGCTGCACGATTCTACCACCGACTGCTCAAACACCGTCCTGTGCTTTTACCCAATTTCACTTTGACTCTAAAGTCCACGACTGTCTCACTCGAGATTGTTGCACACCCAAATGCCCATTCCACTCCCCCCCTGTGCGCAACTGGAGAGCGCAACTCCCAAACGCAACGGGCATGCACAGTAAAGGCGAAAATGGTCCCGTGAGGGCGCTCACGGGTCCTAAATTCCCGAGGCGACTTACACATTAAAGGCGCTTGGGGCTGGGATGGGGTCCACAACAAGACTACAATGGCTCAAGTATCGTCAAACTCAAAGCGACTCGGTTCAAACACACACAATGACACACACACACGCACTGTTGGCGATCGCCGCCTCGCGCGCAGCGGCGAGGCGAAGAAATGGTAGCAGACAGCGATGCGCGCGCGGCGGCCAGGCCCTCCAGAACGCTTCAGATGCAACCCGCTGGCATCAGCCATCGGGGCGTACAGACACGCCCTCTCACACGCACACGCACACGCACGCACAAACACACGCACGTACCACACACACACACACACACACGCACACGCACACGCACGCACACACGCACGCACGCACGCACGCACGCACACGCACGCACGCACACGCACGCACGCACGCACACGCACGTACACACACACACACACACACGCACGTACGCATACTGCGCCCAGCCGTCGCGGGCGCGAGGGCGCGGCTCTGTGGCCCCGCGGCCGCCCCAGCGAGGCCGCCAGAGGTCATTCCTCGCTTTGGCGAGGCCTCGAGACTGGATCTTCCTCCGAAGGCGGCGTCGCTCTTGGGTTGTGGATGCCATGGCAATGGACACCCTAACAGTCCTATCCTTGAATGTAAACTGGGTTTAAAACGTCGGAAACATGTCCTAATCATGTTTTAAGCATGTTTAACAAATGTGTAAAACATGTTCGACACATGATTTAGACATCTGGAATTTGGCAACACACTTCCTCTCCATTGACCGCCCTCCACAACTCTTGGGCCCGGTTGCCCCCCTCAGAGCGGCCCCGGCGCCGAGGCATGAGCTCGGCGGGGCGCTGACACCACGCGCCTTGCGCAAGGCTTGCACAAGACGCCTCGCCCCCCTCCGCAGCGTTGCACGAATAAAGTTAGCAGGCTGTCCGCCAACATGGCGCGCGCGCGTGAATCGCAATCGCGCGCGCATGACGACCGCGATCGAACTCAAGAAGTGCACTCTCGGTCGGGCGATCCACACACTCACACCGATCAGAGCGCCCATCTGTTTCCTCGGGGGCACGGCTGAATCCAAACCGCGAGGGCAAGGCAAGGGTAGGCGAATGCCTCGAATCGGCTTCCCTGCGAAAAGTGCAGAATCGGAGGCAAGAAACGCGCGCCAAAGGAACACACACACACACGGGGAAACCAAAAGATATGGATACCGCTGCTCCCCAGAACTCTCCCAAAATGTCGAGGCGATTCCAGCGGTGGCGACGAGGGTCTCCCAGGAGGCCCAAACATGGGGAGTCAGAGAAAGGGTCAAATGGTATGAGTACCACTTCCCGCTCTGAACACACGCACACACACACACACACACGCACACACACACACACGCACACCGCATTGTTTTACGTTTTACAAGCCGACAACAAACGCGACCACGCAGGGCCTCGCAGCTGGTGGCAGCCATAACCATCTGGGCGTGGAATGCGGGGAGGAGGCGGGCCACACACAAACACGCACACACACACAAACACGCACACATACACGCACACTATTGTCCCTCCGCCGGTCAGGCGATGTCACCGTAGCGGATGCTCGAACGGGCCCCGCCGCGAGGCGAGCGACATCCGCCCAGCAGCCCCTGGCGAAACGCACTTCGCCGAAGAGGATCGTCGCCTGGCCTCGCGCCACCAGCCGCGCCTATCACACACACACACACACACGCACATACACACGCACGCACACCTGTTTCGTCGCAACACGGCAGATGCAATCCGCACAGGCGCTGGAGCTGTCGGGGACGCGCGGCAAACGGCTGCAGGAGGGTGCGCGCGGGAGGAGACGCGGCCGCAGAGGACAGGAGGAGGAGGGCACTCACAGCTGAAAGCGTCCTACCGCACACAATTTTCCCTCCGCCGGCCAGGTGACGTCACCGTAGCGAAGGCTTGAATGGGTCGCAACCAAACTTCCAAATTGCACTCGATATGCAGGGTAAAAGGCAGGCGGTGGACCCGGATGCTGGCGTGCAGGAGGACAGCGTCGCGCCCAGGTGTGGACAAGACGCAGCCGCAGTGGAGTGCGTGCGTGCCAGCGGCGACAGTAAAAGTGGGCTGGCGGGCGCAGCCTGTCACACACAGGCGCACACATACGTGTTTGCGTCGCGGCGCGGCAAAGGCAATCCGCTCACGCGTCCCAGAAAAACTGGAACACGGCGTCGCGGATGAACCCGCATGCAAAAGGAAAGGGGGGGAGGCGAAGGGGCGGCCGCGGAGGTCGCAGCCTATCACATACACACACACACACACACACGCGCGCGCGCACTTTTTTGCGTCGGCGGCTGGGCAGAGGGCGGCTGCTCCGGCGGATAGGCAACAGGGGGCACGCTGTGTGCAAATTAGGGCCGCAATGCATGGAAGGAGGAGGAGGAGGAGGAGAAGCCCCGGCGCGACGGAAAGAGAGGAAGCCAACCCGGTCAGAGCTGCCGGCTGCGGCGGGGGGAGCGCCCGGGGGGGAGCAGCGCCAGCACAGGCACACACACACACACACACACACACACACACACACACACACACACACACACACACACACACACACACTGAGCATGAGCACAAAGCGAAGCAGCGCAAAAGGCTCGGGAATCTTCTGACCCGGGTCAAGCCAGACCCGGGTCAGCAGGAAACCAAAAACTGCAATGCAGGAACAAAAAACTGCAACGCAGATCTTCGCAAACCTGGGTCAGCCAATATGCGCGGCCGCCTCGCGGCCACGAGCGGCTCGCTAACCCGGGTCAGCCAGAGGGGGTCTTCGCAGGATCCTGCAGGATCTGGTGCCCTGGCTGACCCCCGTTTGCATTGACCCCCGTCTCAAAGCTCCCGAAGTGCCCTTCTGCTCCTCATCCTGGCGGCGGAGCGCAGGACCCGCCCGCCTTCGGGGCCCTCTTCCCCCTGCGGGAGGTCCACCGCCGCCCAGGCGACGGAGCGCCGCACCATCGCGGCGGAGAGGGCGCGCTCCAGGTCGCACCTGTCGTCCCGGTCCTGGGGCGAGGGTGGGGGGGGGGGGAGGCAGGGTGGGGAGGAGGAGGAGAAGGAGGAGGAGGAGGAGGAGGAGGAGGAGGAGCAGGAGGAGGAGGAGCAGGAGGAGCAGGAGGAGGAAGAGGAGGAGGAGGAGGAAGAGGTGGAGGTGAAAGGAGAGAGGAAGAGGGGAGGAATGCCGAAGGACGGCGAAGGATGAATGCAGAGGCAGGAGTAAGCGGATGGGGGGGGAGGAGGGGGGAGTAGGAAGAGGAGGAAGGAAGAGGAGGAGGGATGTCGTTCAACCGGGACTCGACAATTGGTCCCAAAATTAATATTGCCAAACTGTGAATGAAAGCTGGTCTGGCGTTCGCTGGAATGACAACTTCGTGTTGCCCGCTTCGTCAAACATCTTAGGGCTGCCCCGGAAGTTGCCCAACGGGGGGAGACTGGGGCACAAAAGCGGAGCTGGAATGCAGGCAAGGTGCAGCGTCCACGCGTGCAGTCGCGGCAAGCCGACGCGACCCCTCACGCAACCAGGTCAGGCTCAAAAGAGGGCAAGAGGGAGAGCAGGGTCCCAAGGCAGTCCTCCCCTGTCGAGCCGGCCCGTGCCTGGGGAAACAGGAAGGTACGGATACCGCCACTCCCCAGACCTCTCCCTGGGTGCTTTCTGACCAGAAGGTCGAGGCGAATCCAGCGGTGGCGACGAGGGCCTTCCAGGAGTACCAACAAGGCAAACACGAGGGAAGAGAAGTGGTATCGGTGCGTATTCCTCCTCTGAGTATCGTGCGTGGGGCTGCGGCGCGCACCGGCGCTGCACTCCGCCCTCCCGTCCGGTGTCCTGGAGTGCTGCGGCCAAGCGCGCAAAGGCGACGGCGGCGGTGAGCGGGAGAAGTGGGCACGCGGGCCAAAGGACGACCGCAGCGGGAGGCGATCGGGGGGGACGAGAGGATAGGATAGCAAAGGGCCGGGTAGAGCATCAGCTCACGTAGCCGGTCTTCCTGGGGCCTCCTGGCGCTGGGAGGCGCCCATGCATCGGGGGAAGTGCCCGGCGGCGGGGCGGAAGCCAGCTGCACGCAGCAGATTTCGTACCCCCTCCTTTCCCTATCCTGCCCTGGTCGTCAGGGCCGAAATCGTCCCGTGGCTCCAGCGCAGCGATGAATCGCCAGCTTCCCCGCTCAGGGAAGGGGGGCTCATCCACGCAGCGCACCCAAGCGTGGAGGAGAAGGAACAGGAGACGCAGGAGGGAGCAGCAGGAGGGAAGAGAACATGCCGAGCAGCCAGGAGCAGCGCAGTTGCCAAACCATCGACAGCGAACCTGGACGAGAGCAGCGGGAGGGGGGCTAGGCCAAGAGAGACGCAGGTTCACAGCGCAGAGTGCAACACTCGCCTGACCGGGGGGCGCCTGAAAGAGCAAATGTCGTTGTCTACGAGCAGTGCCCCTGGCCCACAGACTCGTCTTCTACGCCACCTCGGAGCGCCTTGGTTGTCTGGAGGGGTGACAGCCCCTTGACATCGTCTTTGGTTTCGCACGCCCATGCTCATCCTAAGTCCTACATTCAGGCCTCACTTCACTTTTTCTGAGGCGCCACAGCCAGACAGTCGATCCACTCGTCACTCTCTTTTTGTTGGCAGATGTGCCAAACCAAACCACCTAAAATTAGTACCGTCCGGGCGTTGACCTAAGGAACACAAAGTAAGGAACGAGGCCCCTTTTCTCCAGAAGTTAAACTTAGACTTCCCATCGAAAACCTAAGGAAAACCTGAGGCAAACTGTGAAACAATCAAAGAACACCGAGCCCCTCCAGAACGAAAAGGGTTCCTTATTCAGCGCCCCGACTGTACCCCTAGTGCAAAGACGGAGACCTAAGTGAGGCCACGTCTTCCATTCGTCCGCAGTGGAGCCCATGATACAGCGGCAGGGTCACGCACCGAGCATGTCACGAACCCTGGCCCGCAAATCCTATCAACTGGTACTGGGCAGCCGCCGTAACGGTCTGGACGGTCACGCGGCGGGGAGGAGGAGGACGGAAACTGGAGAGCGCGCAACAGCTGCGCAATGCATCCGACGAAGAGCACCCGAAAACCCCGCGCGAGCACGCCTCGGGACCGAGAATGGGGGGCGAGGTTGCCCAGGGAAGAGCCGTTACGTGCACCCTGGGGGCGCCGACTGCCCTCGCCTGCGGCGAGAGGCTCCTGGGCGAATAGTTACGCGCGCGGTGCCCGCCCCTGGGCCACTCGCTCCTGTCCTCTAGGGGCCTCGTGGATGGGGTCGGAGAGCAGATGGGGTCGGAGGATCGCGCCGCATCGCCGATGCATCGGCGATGCAGCGGCGATGCACCGGCGATGAACCGGCGATGCATCGTCGGCACGGGCGATGCATCGGAGAGGTCGCCGTGGAGCGAATCGGGCCCCTTTTTTGACTCGCGGACAGGGGGCGAAACGGCGCGGCCGCCGGCGCCCCAGTACGGTGCCGACCTAATCGGACACCTGGGGCAGCTGCGCGATGCGCGCGCAGAATCGGGCCCCACACCGGGCCGCATCGGCAACGCGTCGGCGATGCGGCGCGATCCTCCGACCCCATCTGCTCTCCGACCCCATCTTAGGAGGCCCGGACGAACGGCGCGAGGGTGTCAGGGCTGCCCAGCCCGCCGCCGCGCCCCGAGAGCCTCGAGGAGGAGGAGGAGCAGGAGGAGGAGGAGGGGGATGAGGAGGAGGAGGGGAAGGAGGAGGAGAAGCAGGACGAGGAGAAGGAGGAGGAGGAGGAGGAGGAGGAGGAGGAGGGGGATGAGGAGGACGAGGAGGAGGAGGGGAGGAGGAGGAGAAGGAGGACGAGGAGCAAGGGAGGAGGAGGAGGAGGAGGAGTAGGGGAGGAGAGGAAGTAGGGGAGGAGGACAAGCTAGGTGCGCTCGCGTCATATCTGACGTCCTACCCCTCCCTCCCATCCCTTACCATGGCGCTGATTTTCTCTATCCGCGGACGCGTGTCGTAGCGGACCTGTGGCTCCGCGCGCGCGTGCGTAGTGGGTGGTGGTGCGCGTGCGTGCGTGCGTGCGTGTGTGCGTGGTTGTGGTGGTGGTGGTGGTGCTGGTGGTGGTGGTGGTGGTGATGGTGGTGGTGCTGGTGGTGGTGGTGGTGGTGCTGGTTGTGGTGGTGGTGGTGGTGGTGTTGGTACTGGTGCTGGTGCTGG